GCTTCTCTGCTGAGGTGGGGCAGGAGGTTCTTGAGGCCTTTCCACCAACAGGGCCCTTAATCCACCCTGGGATGAGAGAGTGGTCTGGATGCAAACCCTGCTTCTAACCCAAGCACAGTAAATTACTCCATGTCTCTCAAACCTTAGAGTCTTATAATTCTCAACCCAATAACAAAGAAGGGAACCAACCTTTCTCGAGGATTAACCAGAGACAGCCATGCATCCTGCTCTAGCATCCATTCTTACACACTTCCAGCAGCACAAGGTCAGAGACGCTTCCATTTGTGATGAGACATTCACCATAAGAGTGGTGAAATCCCTGCTCCGAAATTGTCATTTGGGGCGTGTTGCTTTCAAGTATCAGCTGAAGATAGTGTATGCGTGTAGAGACCACAGGGATATGTAAAGTACTGTTAAGTATTAGAAGAATAGAAACCACTCGAGAAATGTAACTGCACATTTTGCACATGACTTGTTTTATCAAAGGGTAAAGCAAAAACTGCTATTCCTTCTCCTGACACTTGAGCAAAAAGGTTCAGGGGAGAACAGGAAAGGCAAACCCATTTCTTTTGTGAGTTACAGATATACAAAGTCATGAAAGATACTGTGGTTGTACCAGAACAGCTGTGCCAAGATTTGACCTGATAAATGTAACAGAATTTATCAGATCTGGTTGTTCAAAGTTGTGTGTTGTTTGTAAATTAGTTGTTATTTAAATATTTTCTGAAAAAAGCCTGGATCTGTGGCCAAATATGAACTTGAGCTGTAGAGTAAGCCCCAGGCTCCCCACCCATAACTGTCCGCTTGTGAAGAACGGGATGGTCTCCTACGGGGTATAAAGGGAAAAAGGGAGGGTCTATGCAGTGCCCTGTTCCAGGGTAGGAGAGAATCTGAAAATTTTCCTTCCCTTGAGCCTGCAAAAGCTTGCAGATTTCAGTAGCATGATAGTTGCTGTTGAAAATATGGTCATCTTGTCCTACGATGAATAGTAACTGTGCCTCAGCTTTCTCTAGTGGTATCAGACTTTGATTGCCAGGGGCTTGAAAGGGGTCTGTAAGTGCATCAGAATAATCAAAAATACCGGAATCAGTGACCTTGACAAGCTGTTCATTTAAGGCCATACTGGGGATGGTTTTATCCTTGTAACAGAGAGGAAGCATTGTAATGGCCACAGGGCCATTGAGGGAAGCAACAGCCGTGATGTTCTTCAGGAAGGCAGCCATAGCAAGAGACAGTTCACCTCCTTTGGAGTAACCGAGCAGGCCAACCCCTGGACCCTTCACCTGGTAGATAGGAGGAAATCCTTATCAGTACTGAGCTGAAAAGGATAACAGCTGGTTCATGGAGGGTAGGCTGTCTAATGCTGAGAGTCTGAAAAACTGCCTGAAGGAGGTGGTGGCAATGAATAGATGTTCTTCTGCAATGGTGACAGACACCACCCCACCCCCCGTTCAAACCACTCACATACATAGTGTTCCCTTATATTCTGATATCAGCCAGGAGAGGGGGCACATGATTTCATCAATTTGAGGACAGGGTCAGACACAGCTAAGAATTATAAGTCTTAGACATTGGCTGATGCTCTTTAATTTTTCACTTTTGAGACTGTAGGAGGACATTTGGTGACAATTCATGAATGCTCTTTCCAGCACAACCTTCCCACTTTGTTATATCTGAGCTGTCTCTTGTGAGATTGCTTTGTGATCTCTCTCCACTGTCCTTTCAGTGCATATAGGCTTGACCCTCTTTCCTAGAACTCAGACATCCAAAATCCTGGCAGATGAGAGCCATGCCAGGTGAGTATTTCTGTGGCTTTCTCCAAAGATAACTTGGGCAAAGCGAGAGACACTTTATAGAAGTGCTCCCTGGAGCCCAGGGAAAATGGAGGATGCTCTTACCTGTGGGTGCTGCAGCATATAGTTCACTGCCTCTTCAAAATATTCCAGGTGGAGTTCAGTTGGCTTTTGGGGCAGATCCTCATATTGATAATAAGCCAGGGCCAGTGTGGCAAAGCCATGATTGGCCAGGAGGCTTGCTCTGTGCTCAAAAAGACCTCTTGCAAGTCCATGTATATCGATGACCCCTGGAAAGGTGTCTTTTCCTGGCATGAACAAAACAAAGATCAGAATTGCCTGAAATGACCCACAGAATCACAGAATCAATGAGGTTGGAAAAGACCTCTGAGGTCATCGAGCCCAACCTATGTCCTAACACCACCATGTCAACTAGACCATGGCACTAAGTGCCATGTCCACTCT